TTTTGATTCGAATTAACGGAAAATCGTGAACAAAATCGTGGGCGAACATCGTGGCTCGTCCCAGGGGTTGCCCTGGGGTGGCCCCACGGGTGGCCCCAGGGGGTGGCCTCGGGGGGTGCCTCGTCCTGGGCCCGGACCGGGGCGCCGCTCCAGGGTGCCCGGCGCGCGGCGGCGGAGGGAGGGGGCGCAGAAGAGGGGTGGGGCCGGGGAGGGGCACTGGGGAGGGGCCGGTAGTGGGTGGAGGACAGGGAAGGGGCGGGCAGGGGCAGGTGGAGGGCAGGGAAGGGGGAGGCGCGCGGGAAGCGGAGGGGCAAAGGGGCCGCAGCTGTTGGTCTTGAGGGCCGACGCTTTTCGGAAACGGCCCGCTGAATGCCAGCGCAGCCCCGCCCACCTGCTCAGTCTCGCGCAGTGGCTCCCACGGGGGCCCCGGCCGCTTCTGCCGCGGCGCCGGCGGCCGCGAATGCTCCCGCCAAGCGGGGCTTACTGGAGCAGCGCGTGGTCCTGGTTAGGGCTCGGCGCGAGGCGTTCGCCCCTTTCCGCCGCGTCGCGGCAGGGGGCAGCAGCGGGAGTTAGAGCAGGGAACGCAATTTGAGGAACGCCACGATGTTGACCGTGTGCGCGACGAGGGGTGGCGGCGAGGGCAGGCCCCCCCCGCCCGCGCGCGCCGCTTCGCGTCCCGAGGCCGCGCGCGGCGCGCGAACCATTCCGGGGCGCGCGGGGCGCGGCGCAAGCAAGGGCGAAAAAACGTTAATTGCGCTCCTCTAAAAGCCGCCGCGAGACACGCGCCTTCTCGAGCAGCAGATAGAATGAAAGCCCCGGGCTGCTGCGGGCCTCCCAGAAACGACCGCTTTCACTCGAGCGGCATTTTGGTTTGTCAAAATTAATTATCCCAGCAAAGCAACCGAACGGCGATGTGTATAAGCAAATCAGGAAGCATTCCCCTTCAGATTCAGGTGAGAATCCAGTTGTAGAATTCTGCTGTTCTCGCAGTCGCAGTCGCATTCGCACTGACAGTCGCAGTGGCAACGGCCTTAGGATCCAATGGAATCCTAAGGATTCCCAAGGATTCCTGAGGATGTTTAACTATGCGTACGAATTCCTAAGGATGCCAACGCATTCCTGAGGATTCCTGGGGGTTCCCAAGGATTCCCATGGATTCCTACCGATGCCTCCGCTTGTCTCAGTTTCAGCCTCGGCCTCAGCCTGCCTCGGCTTGCCTCAGCCTCAGCCTCAGCCTGCCTCGGCCTCAACCAGCCTCAGCTTCAGCCTCAGCCTCAGCTTCAGCCTGCCTCAGCCTGCGTCAGCCTTAGCCTCAGCCTGCCTCAGTTTCAGCCCCAGCCCCAGCCCCAGCCTCAGCCTCAGCCTCAGCTTCTGCCTGCCTCGGCGTGCCTCAGCCTCAGCCTCAGCCTGCCTCGGCCTCAGCTTGCCTCGGCCTCAGCCTGCCTCGGCCTCCCTTCCCCCCCCCCCTTCCCCCCCCCTGATTCAGCCTCACCTTGTCTCAGTTTCGGCCTGCCTCGGCCTCATCCTCAGTCTCAGCTTCAGTCTCAGCCTCAGCCTGTCTCGGCCCGAACCTGCCTCGGCCTCAGCCTCAGCCTGTCTCAGCCTCAGCCTCAGCCTGTCTCAGCCTCAGCCTCAGCCTGTCTCAGCCTCGGCCTCCCTCAGCATCAGCCTCAGCCTCAGCCTCAGCCTGCCTCAGCCTCAGCTTCAGCCGCAGCCTCAGCCTGCTTCGGCCTCAGCCTCAGCCTGCCTCGGTTTCAGCCTGCGTCAGCCTCAGCCTCAGCCTCAGCCTGCCGCAGCCTCAGCCTCAGCCTCAGCCTGCCTCGGCGCGCCTCAGCCTCAGCCTCAGCTTGCCTCGGCCTCTGCCTGCCTCGGCCTCAGCCTGCCTCAGCTCGGGTATTCGAAATATGGCACAGGACTGGTGTTCTGGGAACACGAAGATCACGAAGTGGCCCAGAGTTGGCTCCGGTCAATCAAAATATGGTGCAGGAGTGGTGTTCTGGGAACACGAAGAACACGAAGTGGCCTACAGTTGGCTCTGGGCATTCAAAATTAACGTGGGAATTGTGTTTTGGGAGCACGAAGAACACGAAGTGGTCTACAGCTGGCTCCGGGCATTCAAAATGTGGCATGGGAGTGGTGTTTTGGGAAGACGAAAAATACGAAGTGGCCTACAGTTGGCTCCGGGCATTCAAGATGTGGCCTGGGAGTGGTGTTCTGGGAGCACGAAGAACACGAAGTGGCTTACAGTTGGCTCCGGGCATTCAAAATGTGTCCTGGGAGTGCTGTTCTGTTGGTTCCGGGCAGTCAAAATGTGGCCCCTGGCAATGACAATGGGGAGTCCCCGGATTCCCGCGGCACCGGTCCGGCATCTGCCCAGACCCTCCTGGGGAGTCATGGTATTCTTTTTTGAGCCCATTAGAAACCTATCAGTCTTCGCGGCTCGGTACTTTCGTAGTTGAGTCAGAGGGGCTGCGCTCGCCTGCCCGCGAGGGGGCCATTGTGGATTCAGCCCCCCTTGAGAAAGCACGCAGGGCCCCCTTCGGCCATGCTCGAGCCGTCGAACGGATGGGGGGCGCATCGGGGGCCACGAGTGCGCGCGGGAGTGCGCGTGGGAGCGCTGGACGCGCGCGTCGCCCAACGACCGCAGGGTGAAGTGTCGCCGCGGCGGAGAGATCCACGGCGGCCACATGGCGTTTTGGATTCGGGCGTGCCTTGGTCGCGCCTTCGCAGCCTGCGCGGCGCGTCTCAGCAACAGGAGGAGGCGGCGCGCGACAATGCGATAACGCTCGGGCGGCCCACGATGCCATCCTAATGCCAAGCTTCAGGACGTCGACATGATGAACAATTCTCAATTTCAAAATCGTTGCGGCTCCTTGGGGGGAGGCGGCCTCGCAACTTCTCACCAGTCACTACTGTCTACTCACTACTCACTATCCATTGCTCACGACTCACTACTCACTACTCTCTAGTCGCTACGCCGCATTCACTACCCACTACTCACTACCCGCTTCTCGCTTCTTTTATTTATTATTCAATATCCCCCACTCACTATTCGCTACTCCCTACCGCTACTCCCTACTCGCTACTCACTACTGTCGACTCCCTCAATTCTCAGTATTTACAACGCCCTACTCGCTGTTCACCCCTCACTATTCGCTACAATCTTAGTCGCTACCCAGTACTCACTACCCACTCCCCAGTACCCACTACTCATTATTCATTACCCACTACCCAATAATCAGTGCGCACTACTCTCTACTCGCTGCTCCCTGCTCGCTACTCTTCACTCATTAATTACTACTCACTACTCACTACTGGCTACTCACCGTGCACTACTCACTACTCACCATTCAATACCCACTACTCACCACCTACCGACTCACTACCCACTACTCGCTACCCACTACTCCTTATTCAGTTCTCACTACTCACTACTCACTACTCAGCACCCCCTATTCAAAACCAATACTCATTACTCACCCTTCCTCCTTCCAGCGCCAATGTGGAGAGGGGGGGGTCCGGAACCCCCTTCCTTAAGGAGGGGAGGAGGGGGTTCGAACATCTCACCCCTCCTTTGAAGGGGGACAGAAGTTTTTCTTCGAGCCCCCCCCTCCTTTCAATTACAGGGTGATCCAGTGGCGCGCTTTCGTCAAGTACGCACGTATCTGAGTTTCTGGGGCGTGTTGGGTGGCAATCGGAGCTTTTGAGGTCTGTTTGGGAAGCCTTTGGTGTTCTGTATGGGGGACCTGTGAGAGGCCTCTTGGGGGTCTCTTGGGCCTATACGGGGAGGTGCTGAGGGCCTCTCAGGAGCTTTTTGTGGGTCTCGGAGGCAATCCTGGAAAAGGCTGGCAGTGCTTTTTCAATTTCCACTCTGTGGGGCCTCCTTTGGGGCATCTTGGGCCGTCTTGGGGGCATTTTGGGCTGTCTTGGGGCCCCCTTGGGCCGCCTTGAGAGTCGCGGGGCCTTTTTGGGGGACTTTGGCCGTGTTGAAGCGATCTTGAAGGCCTCTTGGGCTTCACTGCAGCGTTGGAATCCTAAGTACTAGAGAATCCCAATCAATGTTTGACAGCTTTTCAATGGTTTTCATGTCTTGGGGCCCTCTTCGGCTTTCTTGGAACTCTTTTGGACCGTGGTGGGAGCTTGTCGGTTGTCTTGGAGCCTTCTTGGGGCGTTTGGGGCCGTTTTGGTGGTATCTTGGACCGTTTCCGATCCCTCCTGGGCGGCTTTTGAGTTGCATTGGGACCTTCTTGAGCCATCCTGAGGGAGTTTGGCGTCGATGTCGGCAGGAGGGGCGTCCAGGAGAGTCATGCGCTTCATTTGGACAGCGTCCAGGTAACGCTGGGACTTCCCACAAGTTTAGAGTCGGGGGTCTCAAGAATCTTGGAAACCATCTAACTCGTAACACTGCATGAGCCTTAGAGCACTTCGTTTCGTTATCAAGGCATGGTGGCGCACAGTACGCCTATGATTTGTCTCATGCAAGTTGTCTTCACCAGATGTCTCCCCATGGTGGTGCCCGATTGCGCGACGCCACCAGCCGCGTCTGAGCCTGCGGCTGCACGCTTCTTCCTGGGTCGTTAGGACTTGTCCTTCGTTTTGGCCATTCGTATGTCCACGCGCCATGCTCCAAACCCGTCTTCCCTGGCCCGTCCTTTCGCTTTGGGCCCCCAGGGCGACGTGATTCCTTAGCTTGCCAGGCATCGCGACAGAATTGATGCGTTCCCATGGTCGATAATCTTGTGGACAGTAAGTCACCACACATTTCGGGCTCGCCGCTGCTTGCGCGTTGCCCGAGCTCTGGTGGTAATGTGGGCGTGCCGTGCGATTTTGGTGCGCTGCAATGCAATTCCTTATTCGTCTCTCATATGTTGGCGGCGGCGGTCCACAACATTCTGCCAGGCCCCATGCGCCCCAGGAACTTCACACTGCTGCAGCTGATTCGCGCGACCTCCCCGTTCGCCTTCCCACTCCGCACTTCCCCTCCCGCCCTGCACGGTCAGGAGGACGCGCAAGCGGGAGACGACGCGGCGGCATCTGCGGCTGGCCCCGGGGATCTCATACCGCTTGCCGACGCCGAAGGCGCAGGCCGACGCGGCCGCTCCGCTGACAATGGCGACGGTGACGACGACGTTGGGGCGGCAGACGCTGCGCCGTGAACACCTCACGACGAGGCCTCACACTCTCAGTGGGTCGGTCCAGCTCGAAACATGAAGAACCTCAGATGGATGTCGAGACTTCTGGCCGCGGCCTTCTCAAAGCATGGTGTTCGGATGTCTGGGCTTGCCTGCTTCTTCCTCTGGGCTCGCCTGTCTTCCTCGCCACCCCCGCTTCGCCCTGTCGTCCCAGCTAGTCCCTCAGCCTTGTGCGCATGGGCAACCTGCGACGTGCGCACGTATTTTTGGCAGTTCAGATGCGTCTCACCGTGCCCTGCCACGTGGCCCTGCCCTGCCTCGCCACCGCCCTGCCCCGCCCCTCCCTTCTGCCGCGTTGCCTTGCCCTGCCTCGCCTCGCCTCGCCTCGCCTCCTCTCGCCCCGCCTCCTCTGGCCTCCGGTCTCGCCTCGTCCAGTCCCAGTCCCGTCATTTCTCTTGCACGTCTGTCCTCCTCGTCCCCGCCGCCGTCGTCCTCTGTCGTCGTCGTCGGCGCTGGTGGCTGCCGCTTCTATTTCTGCCTTGACCCCGCGGCCTGTGGGGGGCAAGCGCGAGGCAACCCAGCATCCCAGAGGCCACTCCTCGTCGTGCCTTGCCTTGCTCTGACCCGCACTCCTCCCCATCTGGGCCGCTGAACTTAGGTCCGGTCCCCCAAAAGGTCAGGGGCCCTTACTTTTGCGAATCAGTGGCGAGGGTGAGGCCGCAGAAGCACGTGACCAGAGACACGCAGATTGGGCGTCCGCGGGCGGTCTCTCCATCCGCGTCTGGGCCTCGGGGCTGCTGTGAGCAGCGCCGCCTGCCGCCGTCTTGCCGCCTGCCTTCCCCTGCCCTGCCGATGACCTTGCCCTGCCCCTCGCCTCGTCCCGCCAGCGTCCTGCCTCGAGCTGGCCCATCCGGCCGCCCGGCTCCCCCGCCCTGGCGCCGCCAGCGCCAAGCCGTGGCGCTGGTCGCGGAGCGGGCGGCGATTCGCATTTCAGCATCGCGGAGGCCACCAGGAAGGACCTGATGGAGACGCTCATGACGCGCTCGCTGGACAAGAGCGTTTGGGTGCGGCCCGGGGCGTCGGCGCCTGCGCAGCGGGCACGCGATGAAGCTGGAAAACGTGGGGTTGTGACAGTGGTTATGGTGGTTGTGATAGTTGTTTTGACAGTAGCAGTCGTCGTAGTCGTAGTCGTAGTCGCTGCAGTCGTAGCAGTCACTGCGAAGGGTCTTCTTTTGCGGTCCCCCCCTTGTCACTTAGCGGTGAATAGGACTGGTCCTAAAACATCCTCCTGCCCGCCCCTCCTGCTGCTTCTCCTCCTTTTCCTTCTCCTCACATAGCATCAGTAATACCATGCATTAATAATTCTTATGACGAGTACGACGACGACGACCACTACTACTACTACTACTACTACTACTACTACTACTACTACTACTACTACTACTACTACTACTACTACTACTACTGCTACTACTACGACTACAACTACAACTACTACTACTACTACTACTACTACTATTACTACTACTGCTCCTACTCCTACTCCTACTACTACGACTACGACTACTACTACTACTGCTACTACTACTACTACTACGACTACTACTACTACGACTACTAGTACTAGTGCTAGTACTAGTACTAGTACTTGTACTTGTACTTGTACTTGTTCTACTACTACTACTACTACTACTACTACCCTACTACTACTACTACTACTACTACTACTACTACTACTACTACTATTGTTCTTACTACGATTATTACTACTACTACTACTACGACGACTACTACTACTTTGATTGCGAGTATCATTATTATTCCTATTTCTATTACTACGACTACTACGGCTACGACTACTTCTAAGGAGGAGAAGTTTGACGGAAGGAGGAGGAGTCGGGTAGCGACGACGAGTACGACTACTACGACTACTACTACTACTACTACTATTACTACTACTACTACTACGACTACGTTTGCTACGACTCGTACTACAACAACTACTACTACTACTACTACTACTACTACTACTACGACTGTGACTACTACTACTACTACTACTACTACTACTACTACTACTAGTATTACAATTACTACTACTATTACCACTACTACTACTACTACTACTACTACTACTACTGCTACTACGTGTCTTATTAGCCTTACGACTAGCACTACTAGTACACTTACTACCACTTTTCTTACTACCGTTACTACTACTATCCATTACCACTAGTACTACTACGACTACTACTTTTCCGTACCACTACTACTACTTACTACGTATTAGTACTCGTGCTTCCATCAATACTGATAGTACGTACTACCCTTGCTACTACTGCTACTACGCCTCCTACCACTACTGAGACTGCGAGTTGTATTACTTGTATTATTACCACTACCATTACTACTACGGCGGCGATTGCTACTACTACTACTACTACTACTACTACTAGTAATACTACTACTACGACTACTACTGCTACTGCTACCACTACTACGACTGCAATTACGCTTGCGACGAGCATTACTATTATTATCACTACTACTGCTACCACTACTACTACTACTGCTACTACTACTGCTACTACTACTTCTACTAGTATTGCTACTACGACGACAACTACTACTACAACTAGTACTACTACTATGGTCACCAGCGCTACCATTACTACAACTATTCCTGCTACTACTACTACTACTACTACTACTACTCCGACTACCCCGTCTACCGTAACAATTATCATACTACGACTATTTTTTCTAATAGTACTACCACTACTACTACTACCACTACTACTACTACTACTACTACTACTACTACTACTACCACTACTACTACTACTACTACTACTACCACCACTACCACTACTACGACTACTACTACTACCACTACCACTACCACTACTACTACTACTACTACTACTACTACTACTACTACTACTACTACTACTACTACTACTACTACTACTACTACTACTACTACTACTACTACTACTACCTCACGACTGCTACGACTATTGCTACGACTATTTCTGCTGCTGTTGCGGAGGGTTTTGGGTGTTCGTCGACAGCGACGGGAAGGCACGAACGGAGAACGCTCAACAGAACAAGTTTGCTAAGACTCCGTATAAATTTTGGCTCAAGTTGCAATATCGGGAAACCCCCGTCTCGAGGGTCGAGGCGGACCGCGCTCGCGAGTGCAGTCCTGGAGAGGCCCCAGAACAGGGACTGCCGCACTCCCCTTTCTGTCACCCTTCTACTACTCCGCATTTTGCTGAGTACCGTATCTTTCCTGAGGCTCCTTTCTTCATCGGCGCCATGGTTCGCAAAGGACAGGTGCGCAGACATAACAAGTATGAAGAGCGAGAGGATCGGCGCACTCGTCGTGAGCGCCGTACTGATGATCATGCTAGGGATGGCTCTGTGTCGCCCCAGGGATCTCTTCTTCGTCACGTACCTGTTAAGCTTCGTCACTCGAGCCGCAGCAGGTCTGGCGATCCATTGCCTTCGACGCCAGGCAGCAGCTCGACGGAGGCCAAGATGGACACCCTCATTTGTAACATGGAAACGCTCTCACAGTTAGTCGCCAACCAGTCGGTTGACATGAGCGCCATCAGAGAGGGTTGCAAGGTCTCGATTGATCGCTGTGCTGCGCTCGCTGACCAGATGACGCTGCTTAGCCGTGAGTACAACATTCGTCACCAGGAACTTCAAGCATCTGTCTCGTCTTCGCTGAATGCGCTCGACTACAGGATGGGCATCATGGAGGCCAATGGCAGCGATGCAGCCATGGGGGCTGCTGATCCTTTTCAGCAGGCCAAGGTGAATGCGATTGAGAGCTCCCTGACCGAGCTCTTGGATCGCCAGCGGGCCTCTGAAGGCCACATCGCCGCTCTGCAGTCCACGCCGGCGCCACCTCCGACTCCTGCCCCTGGCCACATGTCGCAGATGCACCAGAACGCCCAGGGCCAGACGTGCAAGCTCGTGCTCCTTGGTTTTCCGCGGCGCATGCTGGCTGGCGACCTCAAGCACATCGGCAACTCCTGCATCGCCACCTTCGCGCCCGCCACTGCGGCGGCCAAGATCATCGTCCGTGGTTTCGACATGTCGAAGAAGGTCGCCCTCCATTTCGAGTCCGCGCTGGAGGCCTCCACGTTCCTGGGCAACTTCAACTGCGCGAGCGGCTCCTGGAATGTAGCTGACCCGCTGCGCCCAGGCGCGCAGTTTACACTTCGGCTGCGCCGAGACCTTGACTTCCAGGGTCGCCGGCTGTTTTGATCTCTCGGACGCGTGCGATACCATCTGGCTGACCTTGTGCGGAACCGCGGCTATGAGGTCGGGAGTTCTGGGCATGGGGGGTGCGTCTACATCCCTCGTGGCCCGCGCGATCCAGTTCCTGCGGTCGACATCTCAGTCTCAGACAGCGGAGCCGTCGAGACGGAGATTGTTCGCGACGCGCTTTTAGAAATTGGCACTTCGCAGCACGCAGCAGCACTTGAGGAGGCAGCGCAGGTTCAACTGCGCCGCCCCTTTTGGCGCTGAGCCAGACCGGTCTGATAGCTTAGGCAGCCCCCCTCCTCCTCCTCCACCTCCCTCTGACAGTTATGTTAACATCGCTGACCTGATCATGCCTGGGCCCTTTCCCTTCTTATGAACGTGGAACTGCGAAGCGTTGATGGCATCGGTCCGCTCTCAGAACTTGCAGGTTTCCAAGAGGTGCTTCAAGTATATCAGATTGTGTAATACATATGACATCGTAACTACACGAGACACGCGGTCATCAAGGTGACATAACTGAATTGGAGCGCGAGCTCCGCACGCGCAAGTTTGGCCCCTCCTTCTTTGAGGACTCCAACCGCGAGGGTGGCGTCATCGCCGCTATCTCATCTTCCGTGGCCTCCCAGTTCCAGGACGTTCGGCGTCGTGCGCTTGTCACTGGCAGGATCCTCAAGAGTACCCTCATAGGCTCCAGAGGCAACTTGGTCATATATAACGTTCATCTCCCCAACACTTGTGATCCGATCTATATCTTCACGGGTGTTCATCGTCTGATGCAGTCTGATTTTAACTCGCGCATGCACGGTGGTCATGACATCCCCGCCCGCTGCATTATTATGGGCGGCTCTAACTTTGTTCTTGAAGAGGAAGGGGGGTTTAAGGGCGATGGGAGTGGGTGGTATTCTGGCGATGCTTCTCACGCCCGTGTATTTCACAAGTTCTTCCCGTGCGTCACGGAGATATATCGAGACCAGGACGCCAGACGGGGCAAAAGGGATTGATAGCATGCATTCCTCCCTCCCCCCTGCCCTGCTTCGGGGCGCCACTTCTCGGGCTGGGGCCCTGGGCCCCCTCGAAGCTTTCATGGCGAGTGGGCATGCCCCTGTTATGGCAACCCTTGAGCTTTTTTCCCCGTCTTCGCGGCGCCCTGTCATCTCTCCTTGGATTGCTTCCTTGCCTGAATTTCATTCTGCCCCTGGTGGGTTCTTGGATGAAATTCCGTCGGCCTGGGGGCCCCTCTCAAAACTTCAGGTTGCCAAAGATTATGTCTTCGGGGCCGCCTCTGCAGCGCGTGCTGCGCTAGGAACTCGCCGGGCAGTTTCGCACCAATATAAGCATCATTGGTCTCTTGCTGCTCTGCGTGCCCTTCGCCTCGGGCACGAGCAGCGCCTTCGCCGTGCTATTGAATGCCACCCCGGGCCCCGCGTTCACTTTAATGCTGATCTGTCTGAATGCGCGCATCTTGACGGTCTGCGTCAACGCGCCCAGGCGCTCTACAACAAAATTCTGAAGGATGAGGAGTCAGAGATTAACAAGTCCGATCTTGACACAGACCGAAAGCGCGATCTGTCTGCCCGTAACCAGCGTCGCAAGGACCTCTGGGGCAAGTTTGGAAGGCGCACATACCTCCCGGCGGTCTATGACGACAACGGGATCCCCCTCTCGTCCACTGAGGCTTCTGCGGTTGCCTTACGTGGTTGACGTATCGCTCCGGAACGAAATCAACCCGTTCATCCAGGTTCTCTCGGGGCCTCTGGATCGTGAGTGGCTTCTTCCTCATCCG